AGCAGCCGCCCATTGTAGCTTCTTCGCTTCTTCCTCTCTTCTCTCGTAGCTTAGCTAGCTTCGATGATGTGTGTATGTTGGGCTCTCGGCGCTGTGGAGTTGGCACTACTAGCCTGGGAGAGGAATTCGATGCTTCGAGTGGCAGGCGAGGGGCTCGCCATTTATAGCCGGGGCGGTCGGTCGAGCTGGCGAGGAAGGCGCCATGAAGCGAGCGACTCTAGCTGCGCCGCTGTGCGGTCCGTCCGAGCGGCCGGAATCCGCACGATATATTCGCTGCAAGTTGCAGCGCGGCTCCGACGGCCAGGATCGGTCTCGAGGAAACGTGCGATCACGTTAACGCCCGCACCTCACAGCACCGCACGAGTTACCGGAAGATTCTTGGGGAGTTGTTTACTGGACGATCGATCGATCTGGCTGCGGTGAACCATTCTTTTTCTTCCAAAAAGGATCTGCAGTGTTTGCCACCTTGTCTGCAATGCCGTGAAAACCAACTGCGGTGCGCCCTACTCATGCGGCTGGGCGTAGTGATCAAGGTCTTTCTACACTGTAGTACGCATTGGCACCAAGAGTACTCAACTGAAGTTTCCAGAAGATCGGTGACTGGGTTTTGCTTCTTCAAACCTTGGTTGAGACAAGAAAAAAGAAATCCAGGCCAAGAATGTTTCTGAAGGTGATGGGTGACGAATTCGCAAATTTATTGTGACTCATATATAGCAGGATTTCCTGGGTTTTTTCCATCGTTTTCTGAATCAAATTTGGGTTTAAAATTGTGTGACGAAACACCGTGTGGATGTCGTCAATTATTTACTGTTGTTTAGGGGTTTTGGGGCGGATGCACAAGGTAGACGGTCGCGAAAGCAGATAGGCTGGCATCTCTTTTACCTCTAGCTCTAGCTTAGCCAATCGCAACAACTCTTCCCTTCTTTGACTGGCCAATCAGGGAGGGTCCTTTTGATCTTTTGAACTGCAAAGAAGACGGTTAATTATTAATCTACACCTCAGATGTGTTACGCATGTTGCACCGTAAAACCCATATTTCCACAAGGGAATCCTCAGTCCTCTACCCCAGACGATTTGAAATGACATGAATAAATAACTGCTAATCATAGGAGCCAAAATCCCAGTTGAGCCGTGACTTCGTGCACCATCACAGTTGAACAGTAC